CTCCTCCCCACCTTCTAGGAGCCTAGCACACTTAGTTTAGTGTCTGTCAGGGAGAGGGGAGTGTAGCAGGATTTTCAAGGGGGAGGGTGGGGCAGCGTGGAACATCCTGAAGGCCGGAGGGTAGCGCGGCGATCGAAGGGTGGGTTACGAGTTGGTCGGGGGAAAGGGAAATGTAGTGACGAAGGGAGAAGGAAGGGGGGGAGGGAGTGAAAAATTTCAGGTAACCGCCCTGGATCCGCCTATGCATACACGCCGTCGATAATACAGCACCCATCTAAGAGTCCTTCTTTCGTCCTTTTTTTGTTTCTTCGTTTCCTAAATAGTTATAACATTTGCAAAGACAATTTTCAGGAAGTACTGGCAGCCTGTACTAAAACTGCGGTACGAGAAGCTCGATTAGCAGAAATACGTGCTGAATTGTTACGCTCGAAACGTCTGGAAGCGTATTTTGCGAAGAATCCACGCGAGAGAGCAGTACTCGAGCACGATAAAAAACTCTTCACCGTGAATCTTCACAGTCCTGCAATCGCTGATGTGCCCGATTATATGGGTATGTATATCTTCTTGTAGTAATACTACGGCTTTCATTTAACAATTTGAGATTTCGCCATTTGATGCTGCTTGATTTTTATTCGTAGGGGTTTTAATGACAATTGATTTTAATGACCCGCTTTAGTATTTTAATAGAGCTTCGAGTACCATTGAACGAGGGATGCAGTGTCATCGGAAACTTTTTGTTGACTTTCTTCATTTCTGGAACAATTACACTTATCGCGACCCTAAAAGTCTGTAGATCGGACTAGTGTGCGTACCCTACTTGGGTGTGTATGTGTGTGTGTGCATGTGCGTGCGTGTGTGTGCGTGTGGGATGTATAAATATGGGAATATCTAGTTATAAATTTATATTTATAATTGTTTACGGACATTAAGGTTATGCAACGTAGGGAGAAATGCAGGAAGTAGTAAAAAAGGGTGGTGAAATTTTGGGGAGCCGAACTTCTCCAGAACAGGATTTGCGAAACAGCGGCTCTGGATGCCGGAGATGGAGAGGAGTGTTCTCTTACCCTGGTGGTCACAGATCACAAAGATTGCATAAGTTTGACGGGGATAGGGTATCCAAAGATTGAACCAGGGACCAAAGATGTTGCGTTATAGTGATACATTTGCTTTTTGCGCAGTTTTTAACAAAAAGCCATAATTCATTTCGTGAAATATTATGTGACACATAATTAACATTGTTTTTATTAATTGTTCTGCCCTTTTTTCTCATAAATGCTGTGCCTATGTATGTGTTTTTTTCAGTGCCAGCATCGTTACGTGGAGCGGCTGATTATCGGGCTAGTCTGGAGAAAAGAAAAAGAAGAAAACGCAAACGACAAATGCGCCCAACCGTGAATCA